ACATTGTTTTTTTTTTTAACATGAAGTGTTCATTCCATAGACATACACTAAGATTTTTAGGAATAATTTTACAAAATTTTAAGTATGGTTTAAAGTGTCAGATCTAGAGGACATGTAATAAGTATAACGCCTGTGATGAGCCCAAAAATAATCCAATGGAAATTAACGGAAACGAGTAATGTAATTATAATTATTTATGTCGGCTTTATTTTCGCATTAACTTCAGAGTAACCCCGACTGTTTATTATTATTAAACAGTGGTGTAATTATTTGAATGGTGCAATTTCGATGTTGACTAGCTAATGGGTATTCTGGTCACTTATTATTTATGTGCACAGAACTTTAGGCGCGGACCCCTGCGTCTAAATTACTATAATTAATTTGCGCTCCGGTTCCAAAACTTTGGATTGTTAATGTTCTAAATTTTTGTTCATTTTGTAAGATATAAAGAAAATACAAGTAACGTTTACTTGTATTGTGCAAAAAAATAATACTTTATTAAACTTAAGGAAAATACAACTGTAATTGTGAGTAATTATAATTGGTCTCTTTCGCTTTGTTAGATAGGGAATCTCGTTTATTTTAATTTTTTTTTAGAGTGAAAGAAACTTTTAAATAGCGTTGCTCTTACATTTATTATACTTATTTCCTTATATTTTGCTATAATTTTTGTTTATTTGTACCTATGTTGGTTTAAAGTTTTTCCTAAACAATAATCAGAATTTTAATATTACTTTATTGATAATTTATTAAAGGCATTATCGTAATTTGTGTGGATTTAAAAGCAAAATGTATATATTTACTAATATCTTAATAATATTCAAGAAATTGTGAGAAACCACGAAGTGTACATATTTGTTTGGTGCGTAAGCTTCTTTTAATATATCCATTACTGGGATAAGGATTATAAAGGGAACGAGTGAGAACTGGTTTGAAATGGCCAATTTACAAACTAAATCCATTATCAAACAATTATTAAATTCAATTTACCATTTGCGTTATACATTATAATTGTAATCGCTCAAGCTATAGGGTCAAGAAATTTTATATTGGGCAGGTAAATAACACTATATAGTACAAATACTAAATTATCCAAAAAAATAAAGAATATAAACTGGGATACCCAGTAGTAAAACCGAAATAGATGCCGCTGTATTCCCAACTATAACAGCATTTTTTCGTAGAGGATTTTTAATGTTGTTTTTTGAGACCAATGTTATATTTTTTCCAAATATATTTTTGTCTTTTAAATACTTCACAATGTTGTGCTGTAGTTTGTACAAATTATATAAATTAAATAACAATATAGTAACAAGCTATTATATTATGGATTTTCCTTATATATGTCGCACGTATATTACATCTTTATACAAATATGGGTCTTATTACGGTCGCTAAAAAGTTGATTATAAATTAATTACTTCCATAATACTTATATAAATACGTATTAATAGATTCTATAAATATTTGGCAAGAAAACGTTATAAATTATGTACAATTGTTACATTCATAATAGGTAGATAAATGTAGTCAAATGTTCATGAATGGATGATTTCAATTACTCGTATATCGTATTGCAAACCAGCATGAAAAAACATAACCTTTATAATTTCCACGTGTCTATTTACTTTTATATTCCGCGCGTTACAACTTTGTGCGGCTGACAGCTGTCAGTATTTTGACTGTTTTTGCAGAAAATATTATGCTGTGTTGTTTTTAAAACTTATGTTCATTTTTAACGAGTGCGAAACGAAAAGCTGTGGTAACAAAACAGCGCCGTAGGCCCCCTCCCCCCCTGAAGAAGACTTCCGGATGAAGTCGAAACGACAAACATAGTAAATTCATAAAGTTACCGTTATACATAAATATGTATATTATAGTGAATGTACAAAATCATATAAATAAATAGACATATGTGTGTGTATGTATTAGGTTTTTGAAATCAATATAATAATCATAATTAACATATTTTTACGGTAAAAAGTTTTGTTAAATCGTAACTTACAGTTATGTTTTAATATTTTTTCTATGCTTTTTTTGCACAATTCTGTAACGCGTATAGTACTTATACTGGTTGATGGTCCATAATTCTTTTTATATTTCAGAATACATGTTTTTTTTTTGTATAATTTGAAGTTACAAACAAGCTGACGGCTTACCTGATGTAAAGGTGGTAATCGTTGCTTATAAACATAAACAATGCAATGGATATTACAACATACACTGTGACGCCCATGGTGCTCGACGGTAAAATTTCATAAATATAAAAAAAATATTGTGTACAGCCTATAGCAGACCCATAGAATATAAAAAAAAAAACTCAGTATGTATAATTAGAGACTAAAAGATGTCACTGAAAGAGTTCGTAAAAATTATAATAATAATATAAATAAAAGACAAAAAAAAAAGAGAAAAAGTCACTGTAAATATAGAATATACATAATAAAACACACATATCAAGGTTGTCGCATTAGTAAATAACATAAAGAATAGTTTCAAAACATCCAACCAAATTATACTTTTATTTCTAATAATCCAATGACGTCTCTATTCAAACAAACATATGGAAATATTAATAAAATATTGTAAAAACAAGTATACTTACGGTAAATAAACTCGCTTATCTCTAGTCCTCTATGAATAATAATACTTCTATAGTTTTTTATTTATTTTTATTAGAAACAGTTTTAAGCGTACCTTTTTTAAGGTTACCTTTTTTATTCGCACATCAAAAGGAACCACGAATTTCTTATAGGATCACTTAGTTATCAGTCTATTAGTTCGTTTATCGAGATCCCGTTTTTACAGGAACACTAGGAAGTATCAAGTTGAAATTAATATCAAATACTCAATTGGTACTGACTTAACAACATATGTACACCCTTAACCGTTGATTTTAGAGACCAAATTTTGCACCCAACATTCTTTTGTGACTTAGGAATCTAATAAAAAAGGGACTTTGGACATTTCAAGAAAGCGTGACAGTAGATTTCACACGAGGAATTCGTTTGGGAGACCACACACTCATTAATACGCGAAGTAAACCTAGGATTATTTCGCGTAGGCGTACCTTTTTTATGTCCTGTATATACTAACTTGCTCGCTACTTTGTATACGTGGATTTCAGAAGTAGGAAAACCAATAAAATAGTCCACTAGATGGCGTATCAGAATGTAACATACTTGTTTTTCAGTTTTTAAGTTAGATCTTCAGGAACACAAGAAAACCGCATCGGATTTGGTGCAATAGGTTTAGGTGTTAAGGTCAACACAAGTACTCTATAGGTTTTGATTCCTTTGCAAATCTCAAAATATACGCTATAAATGGCCATATCTTATCATTGCGTCTACTTAGAAGTTTGATTTGTTCACAGTCAGCTTCAAAGGATTGTTGCAGACTTGTGTATTTGATATTAATTCCAGTTTGATACACCTACGCGTTCCTGAGAAAAAGGGTCTTGACAGACTGATAGACAGACGGACAACAAAGTGATCCTATTAATGATTCCGTTTTTACTTTTGAGTTATGACTCTAAATCATAAAATGAGTATCTTTACACATAATTTTATTTTTTGAAGGTGGTTAGTAAAATTACATCAAAACAATTTTTTCTGTCTAATGTATGACTTTTAATGTTTTATTACTCTAGTAGTTTTTTTATTGCTCTCTATCCAAATAACATACTCTTAATAAAGTATCTACGACATGAATTAGTAAATAATCCTTTTGTATTTGTGAATTGTGAGCGTTATTTAGCATTCCTATTTGTCTCTGTAGGATTACCAGCCTTATAGGATTATCGTTTCCCTTCTAGAGGTACAGTTTCATGAGGCAAATCGTAGTACAGCACCTGCCATGGTCATTAATCCTCACGTCATCAAAGACCTATTAACATCTTCCATTGTTGCGTAATCTGGAAGGTATGTGTCGGTGTTAAGAAGTTTGTTTTTGGATTATTGTTTTAATGAGAGCTTTTTCCTTCGTCTTCGCGAAGTTTCTGTTATTATCACCGTAGATCGCATACATGTAAATGGAGCGGTTAAGTATTAAAACGCTCTGAAAAGCAATCAGTCAATTGTTGGATGACGCGTCGTTTCCTTTTTATCATTTCAGCCCTTAACTGTCCACTGCTGAACATAAGCCTTCCCCATGAGAGGAGTTTTGCCAGTAGTTAAGAGGGGCTTGGCTAAAGGTTTGACAACTGTAGTTAGGCTTTTAAAGATGTTTTACACGGGACGCTGCTGCACATTCCTCTACTATTAAGCTCCCTAAGGTCCCTCTTACCACACCCGCAGGAAAGAAAGGGGTGGCTTATTCTATGCCGGGACCACACGGCTATTTTTCATACTGTATTCGAATATTCTATCTCTTATTAGTGATATTACTTTGTTTTAAATTATATTAATTTGCATATATTTTAACATATGAAAATTCCTTGTAACGTTCTTTCATACAATGTTTACGATAACACTAATTATACTAACTATGCATTACAGTCATAATTATAAGCATATTTATTATTATCAACCAACTTTAAAAAAAAGGAGATTCTTAATTTGTTGGATTTTTTATATTATAAACAGATTTGGAAATTCATGCGTGATTGAATAACGAATATTCAGATATGATCACAACATTAATTACGTTTTATACGGAATCAAAAGACAGAATTTCACAAATACGCAGTACCGCTTAAATAATTCAAAGATGTGTTCTGAATTCCCATACTGAAGCGTTGCCTAATATAGAAACTGTTAATCCAATTACTTGATAAACTATTTTGCTTTGTAGTCTAATATTACTTGTTTGCACATAAACATCTCTTTGATTTGGGTATATGTCTAAAACTTGTATTTCTCCAGCATCAGCTACGACGAATTGTTGTTTATCACTGTGGCTGTGGCCAATATTGAATTATGTTCGGATGACAAGCAACCCTTTGGAGCCATTATGTACAATATACGTCAGATCAAATGATTTACAGCTTTATTTATTTGCAGGTCCGCTATTGACAACATAAAGAAGGCGAAAGTCGCCATAAAGAAGATATCGCCGTTCGAGCACCAGACATATTGTCAGCGGACGCTACGAGAAATCAAAATTCTCACACGGTTTAAGCATGAAAATGTAAGTTCATTTATTAATTAAAATGTTATCAAAGTGATTTGTGATTAAAAATTTCCAAATTGGTTGGGTTTGAATGCATCACCTACATTGTGGATGGCGTATTGAGATAAAAGTCTACATAATTTTTTAAAGTTAAATCTTCAGGAATAGAACAGTGGAATCCGCACTTAATATGGTGCAGTAGACAGATAAAATTTCAAAAAATTTTTTTTTGGCTTCTATTGTTCCTACTAAATCATCTTACATCATTTTTTTTAATCGTCTTTTTACTTTGTTTTATAAGATTATTTAAAATAATTGTACTTTGTTCTATTGTATTTAAACATTGTCATTACTTATAGGTTTACACGAAAGAAAAATGCAAGGACAAGCAGCCCTCTCTTGAACGTTTATCCTAAACGAAATTTAGACAAGTTAGGAAAGGCCTAGGATTTACTTGCGTAGTCTAGATCCGCTTTAGATACTCCCCTCAGATGCTTTAATTGGAATATTATATTACTTGACGATACTTCGGGGACATTCTACTTAATTGGTATCCTAAATCCAATTTCAATATTACTTACTACCTTTATTTTTATTATTACGTTGATTATTGTATTAAATTTTATTATCTTATAAATTTTATTATGCAATTTATAATAGCAAACAAGCTGACGGTCTAACTGATGGATGATGTTAACCGTCGTTTATAAACATGAACAGTAACATGCACATAAAAGAGTATACTATGTTGTCCATGATATTCCCCATGCGTTGCCATTCCTGAGGACTAAGGTATTATGCCTCTGTACCCTGTAATTTCATTGCTATATTGCATCCTTCAAGCCGAAATACAACCATGCAAACATAATTGCTTTACGGCAGGAACATATCATTATTAACTCTTTTTTTTTAAACTATTGAGTCTTTGTAACATTTCGTCCTTTATCAATACTTTTTATTCTATTAAAATGAGAATATTTAAATTACTAGGTAGTATTAATTTTGGAACGATCGAAGCCGTTGCTTTTTTGCAATGCTAATTATGGAATATTTGTGCGACCGCCCAGGGAATTAACATAAGGTTTTTTATAACGAAGAAAATACTTATTTAAAATAAGTATTTGGATTTTTTGAACAAATTAGTATGAGGTTATTTTCTCATTGTAAACTTTTTTTTTTGTAATTGTTTGTATCTATCTATAATAAATTTATTACTGTAATCTTTTGAGGGATCAATAAAGAGTATCTATCTATCTATGAGATGGGACCAACATGGAAACTACTTCAATAAAAAAAAAAATAACAAAGACTAGTTTCATAATAGTTATTGTATGACGTATACGAGATATAGTGAAATTGAAAATTTTCTTATATCTTCTTATATATAATATTAAAAAAAATAATTTATTAAGAGAAGAGTCGTATCTTATTTTATTTTTTATTTGATATGATATCATAACAGTCTACTGACGTCCTATTGTTGGGCATGAGCCTCTGTTCCTAAGAGGAGGATATAAGTATCCTATACTGGTCAGGTAGTATAGGTATAGGATTTTGTTTCGCTTTTTCCCTCTCTAGCTGTATTGCGCTTATTTTCTTAGTCTTTTTAGAAAATCGTAGGTTTGGTAGATAAAAGAAGTGAATACAATGTGTATTCTCAGTCCATCTATGGAGTCAGCCAGTATAGAGTATAATTTTTTAATATCTTTTTTTCTTTTCAGATAATTGACATTCGGGACATATTAAGAGCGGATAGTATCGATCAAATGAAAGATGTTTACATCGTACAATGCTTAATGGAAACGGACCTCTATAAACTATTAAAAACACAGGTAAACATCTTTCCTTTTTATCAATTGACCTATTTAAAATTAACTCGAACTATTTTTATCTTAAAGACAAGAAGATTTAGAATAAAGGACACTAACGCCCTCACTGTAAACATTGTTTCGTCCTTTTCTAATACAATGTACTATTTTCGTCCCCCGTTTACATTTACGGGTGTTATTTTAAGTCCCTATCTAATTTCATTTACGAAGATGCCTGTGACAGACAGACATTGTTGGCACAATGAATAGGAGCCTACGAAGTCTTAATAAAGAAAAATAAATAAAAAACTGACTTGTTTTTTTTTAAATATATGTACCTTAATGTAAAAAAAGCAAATGTTTACTAATATATTTTAAAAGAAATCTCATTATAGAAAATACTGTATTATAAAAATAAATATAATTCGTGTATTGTCTTCGATGCTCATTATCCATCTTCGTTTACGCCGAAATGATCCTCCATTTTGTTGAGATAACGATGTATATAATTTAAATCACAGATGCGTATAACATTGTTAATGATTTGTTACAGAAATTAAGTAACGACCACATCTGTTACTTCCTGTACCAAATTCTCCGAGGGCTCAAGTACATTCATTCGGCGAATGTGTTGCACAGGGATCTCAAACCTTCAAATCTATTACTCAACACAACATGCGATTTAAAGGTTAGTACGTACTACAACTTTTTCTAACCAACTTTGTTCTAGGACCTCTTTCAAGCATTGCCATTCCAATCTATTCTTGATAATTGCACATGTAATATGAACATCTCAGATATTGTGGCTGCTTTCTGCATAATTATGTTAACTCCAAGGAATGTCCTGCTTTATTCCACTACGTTCACAATTACTTCCATCTCTGTAGTCATCCTATAGGTCCTACAATCCCATTGACTTCATTCTCATATATTTTTACGGCAACTATGTCTTATTACAAATTTATTACGAGTTATTTAATAACACCTACATTTTTCTTAAATGAAATATTAAAATTTTAATGTTAATATTATTTTAACCTCATTTTAAGGTATATTATTTTATCTAGGTGTTATATATCAACGATATACTAAAATTATAATGTTAATTTTACATCAACTAATTAATTTGGGTGTGCCTTTTATCGGCGGTGCAAACACTATAATACACTATAATATACTACACTAATAATTTTAATATAATTATAATTTTTGCAACTGGGAATAGCAAGTAAGCTGATGGCTCTCCTAATGGAAAATGGTAATCGTCAGCTATAATCACTCTTCGGTCACGCAGCCATGTGAATAACTTATAGTTACAATACATATACAGTGGACCCCCGATAATCCGGCCCCTGTCTAATCCGGCGCCCCCTGTAATCCGACATGACAGAATTATGTTTGACAATCTTTGCTAATATAGATCACGCAAGTTTGAACAGGTCACAACTCGTACGCGCCACCGCTATTGTGCTCGACGCATATGCATTGTTTTACTTAGTTTGAATTTGACTACTAGTGATAGCGATACGGCCTAGCGTACGTTCATTGTTTACTATTTATTCATTGTGTATTAAGTATATGTAGTACCTAGTAATGTCGTCACAAACCCAGAAGCGAAAGCACAAAACGTTGACAATTAAAGAAAAATGTGATATTTTAGATCGCTTAAATCGCAATGAAACTTTCAGTAGTTTAGCAAGTGAATACGGCGTAGGCCGATCTACAATTTATGACATTAAAAAAAACCACGAGAAGATTAAGAAGTTCGTGTCAACTACTGACTGCGGGCCAGGCAAGAGACAGACACTCAAGAAAGCTGAACATCCAGAAGTGGAAGAAGCTTTGTACATGTGGTTTCTTCAGGAAAGAAACAGGCATGCACCAATTTCGGGACCCATGTTGGCGATGAAAGCTAAGTTTTTTTATAAGGAAATAACAAAAAAAGATGATTTTATGGCCAGCAAAGGATGGCTAGAACGTTTTAAAAGTCGTCATGGCATACGTTTAATGACTATTACAGGAGAGAAACTTTCTAACGATGCCACCTGCATAGAGCCCTTTAAATTAAGATTTTTGCAAAAGGTGAACGATTTTAATCTTGACCCGTCACAGGTGTATAATGCAGACGAATCAGGGCTTTTTTGGCGTGTGATGCCTAACAAAACTTTCGTTTCTTGTAACGAAAAAGACGTACCTGGACGAAAAGTGAGTAAAGAGCGTGTAACCATACTACCATGTGCTAATGCTGCAGGTACACACGCGCTTAAGATGGTGGTCATTGGGAAATCTAATAAACCAAGGGCATTCAAAAACATTGATTTACCTGTACACTATTACGGACAAAAAAGTGCATGGATGACAAAAGACCTTTTCAAAAAGTGGTTTGATGAATGCTTCGTACCTGAAGTTAGAAAATGGTTAAAAGATCATAATTTTCCTCAAAAAGCGTTGTTGCTTCTTGATAACGCTCCCGGTCATCCGTCTGAAGAAGAACTGACAACTGAGGATAAATGCATCACTGCGATGTTTCTTCCGCCAAATTGCACTGCACTGATTCAACCAATGGACCAGAACATCATTCAGTTTGTTAAGCAAGACTATAAAAAAAACCTACTTTTGAGAGCCGTATCAAAAGACCAACCAATAGAAAAAACTTTAAAAGAATTTAATATGAAAGACTTGGTTTTTGCTCTTAGTCAGTCGTGGAGTGCGTTACCGTCATCAACTATTAAATCGTCTTGGAAAAAGTTATGGCCAGATATAATCACCACTCCTAGCAACGATCCACAAATCAGTAACTTCGGAAGTTATAGAACAAGTCTCTACTGAAACACAGATAAGTCCGGAAGATTTGGAAGTCTGGTACCGTGGAATGGATAAAGAAGAAAATGTTTTTCTTGAAATGTCTGACAAAGATATTATAAAAGAGGTTTCTAATAATACAACAAACGATCAGGAAGATAACGACGACGTGATTGCAACTGCTCCACAAGTCACAGATCAAGACGCAGTTAACGCTTTTGAGCTAGGTTTACAATGGGCTGAAGAGAATGGTACATCCTACAACGAACTTTTACTTTTGAGAAGACTGAGGGACAAAGCTCTGATCTCGCGTTATAACAACCTTAAACAAAAAAAAATTGATGAATATGTATTTCAAAGCTTCATAATTTGATATAGTATTCACTACATGATTTTGATTAATAATTCTTGATTATTTTGGTAGATATGTATGTGCATTTATGCTTAATTTTATAATAAAACGTAAGCTCTCAATTGTTATTTAATTTACTAAATTCGACTTACATAAATTAAGTCTGATTTGTACTTCAAAGTACATACATATGTACGTATAATATAGTATAGACTCTCGTCATTAGATATGTAATTTGTCGGATTACAAGGTACTCTTTCGTAAAAAAATCCGGACTATAGGGGTCTTAGGCAGTGGTCTATAATCCGACAAATTCGATAGTCCGACACTGCCCTGCATAATGTTTGCCGGATTACCGGGGGTCCACTGTACTTAACAAAAAAATTCAAACAGCAGTTAAGATTAGTTGGTTTGTTTAAATAAAGTCTTGCGTAGCCAGCTACGTAGTAGCTAGAATCACTTCTTGATTGATTGAGTTTGAGCTGAAATATTACATACGTCTTTAGTTTTGTTGACATTATAATATGCAATACTCAAAGTCTTAATATTTTCGAAATGTCCGCCGCCACTAGATTGCGAATCATATTTTTTAATCTCCTTAACATGAGTATCTAATTAAAATGGCCTAAAGTTTAGAAAACGTTTAAAGTTACTGATATCACACTAAATTTAATATGATTGCCTATAGAGGCAAAGGAGAGAGGTGAAGGATTATATTATTAAAAGCTTGTATTATTAAAATTGTTTTTAGACTACAGGTTTATAAAACTGTCTTTAGATTTTCTTGTAAGCGAGATATATTTCTTCCCAGGTAAACACATTGCAAAATAAGTTATCCGTAAGGATTTAACTTAAATACGGTGGCGGTAACTTCATACTTATATCTTGGACGTGCATGGCATGACGTTATTGGGAACGGAACTTTAAATGTATCTTACATTTTGATTAAGTTATTATGTACCGTGATAATAAAATCGTATCTATTTTATTGAATTAGGTGTTACCTTGCAAAAGTCTATATCACTGGTTATTTGATTAAAATTATTTTGTTTAATTCCGCTACCATGTGATTTTTTACCACGCACAAAACGTGCGTGAACAAAATGGAAGTCGGAGATTGATAGCTAATATGGAAGGTTTGTGAAACTTCTGGTAGTAATAGTGGTGGTTAATCTTCGAACATTGGCAGTCACATAATAATAGTAGCGGAATTAAAAAAAAAGATGCTAATCAAAGAACCAGTAAAGTTGTATCGTTTCGTGCTACGATAAATTATAAGAGCACTCTGTTATTCTATACCTGATTTTGGCAACAATAAGAAATTTTACTTTCAGAAAACAATAAACAAGATTTGCCCTACGCTTTTCTTTTACACAATAATACTTTTATTTTGCAAATTAACTTCTTAACTCTTAAAAATAAAAGATTCATTTCTGTATTATGTTAATTACTCAAGACTTCTACTCGTATACTGTAATTCACAAGCATAAAGCTAGTGAGTTACAAATATCTATCGACAGTACATTCACAACATCGAATCCATACATATGTACTATAGATCCGATGTTATGGAAATGTGGAACATGCATAATGAATTTTACTAGAGGGAAACTGTACAAAAGTCTCTGTTCCACTCGTCTCTATTGTGAAACGACTACTTGCATGTCTGTGTTTTTAAGGGAAAGGCTGTGTTTCAACAAACGTGAAATTACTGGTTGAGGTAGAGGGCGTAACACCTCAGTCTGGGGGGAAGGGATTGTTAGTAATGGGGTTATCATCAAAAGCCGCCTTGCTAGCAATACACCCAATCAGGTCGATCTTCAAGCTGAAACCATCATGGTTAATTATTGTTAAATTCGTCACGATCGGTCAACTGACATACTTTTATCCTCACATATTATTGTTGACTGATGCCTCGCTAGCGTATACTGATAACGCAGCCGAGGTACAATTTCATTCCCACCAATTTAAAAAAATATCTTAGCTCTCATGAATGACTACGCACTTATGTATATACAAATAAATACTTTTTTGTGATTTGTGACGATAACCACTTTCAAATAGATGTACCTATATGTAAATTTTTAAAAATAAATTTACATTTTAACATATACAGAGTAATCCTAAGTGTCCGCAGCGCATATTTGAAATTCATATATATGTATAGTGCCACGTTCCAAATTGATTGAATGTACAGTAGGTAAACTTCTCTCAGACCAGTTAATCCATCCTGGACCGTGATAAATAAAGTACATGGTACAAACACGCTTGCTCTTAATTCCCGTTTGATTGCTTTAATTTATTTTGTTCAGCGACACGAAAAACAAAATTAAATGAATGGATACAAACAAAAAGGTAGCCGAGCATGTAATGTGGCGTTGTCATCAGATGAAAGCAAATGGAACTTTTACGATACTTTTTATTTTACAAAAGCACTCGAATGATATTCTCTTAAAGGTAAATCAATAAGGGTCTGATAAATGAAACAATGAGGTACGTCAATATATAATGATGGGACGCAACGCGACCGGACTTTGCGATGTATAAGAGGCCCATCTTGTTAGAATTGCAGCGTCATGATTTTCTATCAAATATAGTTTTTGACTGTTGTTATGTATTTTAAATGAGACAATAAGCTCGATTCTGATGTTCTATTCCCTAAATGTAAATCCATTTTGCGGCATAGTCCACGGTGGTGGTGCCACGACACCAAATATTTTCTGATTCCATAAGAATTTTGGAAATAACTTAAGGCTTAACTTATAGGACATATATGAAGAAATCAAAATAAGTCTAAACACAATCTTATGTTTTATGCTTAGTAGATTTTGCTGTCTCGGTCATCTGTCAGATAGTTTCTTCTTCCTATAAGAGTAGATTCAAGTGAAATTGAAATATGACATGATTACGTTCGATGCGGGAACGACAAGAGCCGCGACCTTTATCGCTCCGCTAGCCGGGTCATACACGGACGATAATGTACGAAATGAACGAATTACATGAACCGTGCATATTTTCGGGTCTACCCAATCCGTCATGCCCAGAGTCCATGTTAACGAAGCTGTATAATATATGTAATAGCCTTTTAGTGTAGAAGGTCAACGGAATCCCTCTTAATGTGTGTGCTTTACACAATGTCGCAAATGTAGGCACGTGCAATATTCTATATATAAAACTTTTTTCTTTATTTAAATTTTTATGAGGTAGCTGATACATGAAACCTCTTTCAACGGTATATAATACATTCCAAAAAGATGGCAGAATTTCAGTCAACTTAAAAAATTATATCTAGTCGGTTGTCAATTATAGACTCTTCTTTTTTGTACGTTATTCGCTGAGTGTTTTTGCGAGCTGATTTTAAATCGTCATCATTCATTGTCGACTGCTGAACATTGGTATCTCACTCATATGTTGTCGATCGTGCTTGATCCCACATCGTCTGCTTCCATTGACTTTCCACGATACCTGAGGTCGTCATGCCATTTTAAGAGGGATCATCCCACAATGCACATTTAATATATTTCCTTTAACTACTTTCATAATAAATACATATAAATTTTGCTAATACTGATACTGTATCTGTAAAAAATAATATTTATCGAGAGATTTGTACCGATTATGTGTACTATGGCCGTGTGGTCCCGGCATAGAATAGGCCACCTCTTTCTTTCCCTTGATTGTTGTAAGAAGCGAATAAGGGAGAGCGAGGGATGGGCAATGGCGTCCCTCTTAAAACATCTCCAAAACCTAATTGGGCTTGCCAATCCGCTTGCCAAGCGTGGCGACTACTGGTAAAACTCCCCTTATGGGAAAGGCTTATGTTCAGCAGTGGGCAAATAATGGCTGAAATGATGAAATAATTATGTGTACTATTACTATAATTATGAACGAACCCTTAGGGTTATGACATGACAATAATAATTATATGTGTCACACTACGACACAAACTAACGTAATGACGCATAAAGTCTGTTTACCTAGAAATTTACACTATCAAGAGCAATGTTTGGTATTCTGATGTCGAATACGAATAATATCAGATAAATCATAGTTACTTGTCATAGTGTTAACAGTCTTGTTTACGTTGACGCAATACATAATTTAAAACTGTACATATATTTTGTACAGTTGGACATTAGTTGTAATAATTTCCCCCTTATTCATAAAAGCATCAAACCTTTCAAATCATTAAATATATTTATATTTTAGCTATTGAACTGTTTGGTCTGTTTCTCATCATATCATCATCATATCTTTAACTGTCCACTGCTGAACATATGCCTTCCCATGAGGGAGAGGGGGTGAAGGGGGGGGGGGGACAGTAGTTGCCACGCTTGGCAGGAAGACAGGCAACCGCAGCTAGACTTAGGAGATATTTTAAGAAGGACGCTGCTTCTCATCCTTCGCCCTTTGTGTCTTTCTCTTTTGTGCAAAATTTCCAATTTGAAAGGAAGTGCAAAAGCAGTGTGTAATAGTTAAAATAGCCTTGTAGATCGTTTTCGTTTTTATAAATAAGAGATTTACTCTATTTATACTAAAGTAAAACAAACGGTCACCGGTCTAATTTAATAAATATGAACGACACTATAGATTGCTACTGTAGCACATTCCTATAAGAACAACCAGATGTGACAGCCGCAAATTGTACAATATTTGCTGTAAACTACATTTTTTTTTATATATATTTTATTGGCTGTCTCCGCAGAACGTTTTAGAAACAAAAATTACTCTTATGACTTTTATGTTTTGCCACTAAATAGCAAATGGCGCACAAAAGTTTTTATAATTAGCCATCGTTTGCGAACTATTCGCTCAGTGATTGCACGTTATTTGCTGTTATCGGGAATTTAGGATCCAATAAACTGACTAATATAGCAGTAGACTGTAATCTTAATTTGTTCTATTATAACATTATTTTGTTTCAATCTAGATATGTGACTTCGGGCTGGCGCGAGTTGCAGATCCCGACCACGACCACACAGGCTTCCTGACGGAGTACGTGGCGACGCGCTGGTACCGCGCACCGGAGATCATGCTCAACTCTAAGGTTAGTTGCACACGCCTAACGTGAATTGGTGCTCTATGAATAGTAAATGTCACATTTATAATAATAATAAAAATATTTTTTATTCAAGTAAACTTAATAATAGGCATTTTTGAATAGTCTTCTTTATGAAACCACCGTCCAGTTCGAAATACAATTTCAGCTGAGAAAAACGGTCAAGAAACACAGCTGTTACTTTTTTTTTAAATAAGTTTAAAAATAAGTTAACAAAAATAATTATTAAAAAAACTGAGTTTTCGAAAGGATTTAATGGGGAAGGGATTATAAAAAGTAGTTCCCTTGCCAATCTCAAAAAGTGAAAATATCCTTTATACGATTTTAATCAGAGGGTTTCTTTAGTTAAAATAGTATTTACCAGTTTTACGTCTATAGGCGTGAATCGTTCTTTTAATTCGTATGCTACCTAGGAATCTACGATGACCTGAATAATAAAGACCGCAATTTACAGAGTAAATACGACTGAATTTGTACATTCGTATAAAGTAAATATGTAATATTTGTATTGTGTACAGCGAGTAATTTATTAATATATTTCACACAGCTTTGTTGTCATTTTACTTGTTTTTCTTAGTCTCGATGTAAATTACGTATTTTTATTTAGCAATGATTTTATACAGATATTTATTTATTTATGATAAATATATAATTTATTTGCATCACTTATAGCACACAAAAAGCAATAGACATAGATAAACACATACAAAAAAGAGAAAGAAAAAAATATATAAAGGAAAATACATAAAAAGCAACGTAATAATGAAGAGATTTTTTTTATTTTATTAGCCATTAAATTGTCCACTGCTGAGCATAGACCTTCCCTTTAGGAGGAATTTTGCCAGTAACTTTCACGATTGACAGGCAGGTTGGCATTCGCAATAAGGCTTTGGTGATATTTTAAGAGAGACGCTGCTGCCTTATTCCGCGATCATTAAGTTAATGATTAATGAAGGGATAGCTTATTTTAACAGCCATATTATTGTTAGGACCAGGATAAAATGTAATGTTACGCATTATCCTAGTGTCCATGTCATATATATATGACATATATATGCAACTATTATGTACCTATATGCAACTAATAAGTACCTTCAAAGCTGATGTTGTTTACATTATGTTTATATTTACATTATGTTTTTGTCCAAATAGTAAGAATGTTGTGTCCGCCTATAATTGGCATATACATCACATGTAAACTGTCAGATGAATGAAGAGAAAAACATATTACGCTGGCCTTAAATAGATGAGGGAAAAGGGCACAGAGATGATGACATCCGATGTAATCCTTACTCTGTAAATAATACACAATATTAACAATATAATGCCGTAGTATTTTTTAAAATAAATATATTTTGTTCTGAGGATGTAATTTTTATTAGAAAATATTATTTTACGATATCCAGGTAAATCCTGTACTTGGGAATTCTTAATAATTAAAATGTGAAAAAGTTAATCTATTATTATTTCTTTAGTGGTGTTACTAGGAATATAGTCCAGATAACAGAGGATGTAAGTTCGAATCCCATCGGATCGAATTGATGATGTAGCAATGTACCCATTGTACATTGTTATGAATATATATGATTGACCACAAAGTTCCCTATCTTTTACAATACGAGAGCGTAACTGCGAATTGATATGTCTCCTATTGGTCGACTGTATAGGCACTTCCATGTTTAAACAATGGCCCAAAGCTATAACGGTTTCCTTCCTTATCCAACGTGACTGGCATGACGGCGACACAATGTTCAACAGAACCATAATACACACGCACACATATTGCGGCTGGATATTGACAATACACATAGCTGAGATAACGAGATTAGACGCGCAAAAGCTTATAATTCAAGAGCAATTTTGCTGGTAATCTAGTGGAGTGTCTCGTCTGAGCTCATTCAATGATATTGGTGCGCTCCACTGACACATAATAAGGCTAGTAATGTTTGCCCACGAGTTGATATCATCTTCTTTGACGTCCTCTCTATATTATTCTTTGCTTTCTTTTTTATTGGTACGTTAAGTTGTAGCTATTACATTTATATATTATGTTATATTTTTTTTTAAATTTAGACTTAAATTGAACAGAAAACGATAGATGCTTATTTGTATACTATTGTTTTTTTTTTTGTTCTTGTTTTGTGTGCTACTGTGTGAGTCGCATGATTCTCTGAATAAATTATTTCTTACTTTCTTCTTTTTCTTTATAATATTCAGATAAATGCGACATTTAAAGGAATTTTCTATAAGGACTTTAACACAGTGACAAATAGCTTCCTGTCGACGTTTTTCCAAGAGACTACAGCATAGTATTTAAAAAAAAATGGATGTAAAGGTTTTTTCGGGTTGGCAACGCGCGTAATGCCTCTAGTATTGCAGGCGTTCATAGGCTACGGTAATCGCTTATCATTAGGTGGGCTGTATGCTTATTTGCCACTTCAGTGATATAAAAAAACTATCCCATGACTTAAGGAATAGTGCTTTGTGCCATAGTTGCTTCTTACTACATCCTGGTATAAATGGTAACACATCTTACTTTATCATCACACGAATCGTATTCGTTTTAAAAATAGTGGATTGTTCGGTGATGGATTGAATATACATGTAGGCGTTTTAAGCGATGAAAATGGAATAAATAGCAACAGCAGACAGGCTGTTGCTATACATTCGCATAATAAATGAGAGCTCTTCCTTGAGATCAGTGGCCCATCCTAGAGGTAACATTATGCTATGACTTCAGTTTTCTTCCCATATATCACAAACATATAATTAACGATATTTAATACTTGTATCTTTTTTGGAACAGGGTTACACCAAGTCAATAGATATTTGGTCAGTGGGATGCATCTTGGCGGAGATGCTGTCGAACCGGCCTATATTCCCCGGAAAGCATTACCTTGACCAGCTCAACCATATCCTCGGCGTGCTCGGCTCACCCAGTCCCGAGGACCTCGATTGCATCATTAACGAAAAGGTATGTAGTAATTTAAGAGTGGGTCGAATGAAAATGCCCTAATGTTTGTTATATTGATTTAATTAAAAAAAAACTTAGTACACTTAAAACTTAACGTTCTTTTTTAAATAAAATCGCAATTGTCAACATTCAGAAAGAGAGAGAGAAAGAGAGAGAAAGAGAGAGAGAGAACATGCAAGTGAGAGGTGTTACATCTCTTATCCACCTTACACAGTTATATGGTTTAAAATCATCATATTATTCGTTAACTGTCCACTGCTGAACATAGGCCTTCCCCATAATGGAAGTTTTGCCAGTAGTTGTCGCGTTTGGCAATCGGATTCGCAACCGCAGGCTTTGCTGATGTTTTAATAAGGACGGGGCTGTTTCATTGGTCGATTCTTTAAGTTTCCTTAGTCACCTCTCACGACACCCGAAAGGAAGGGGTGGTCCATTCTAAGCCGGGATCACACGATAGTGGTTTAGATATGGATTAATAATTTTAGATTATTAAAGTTATTTTACAATTTAATTTCTACATGTTTGTATGTATAATTTATTTAAAATAATGAAAGAAACATAATGAACAAGTCATAATGTATAGATATGCAATTAATGAAGTTGTTATCTCTACTCGTTTCTCGTTGGTTTACACTTGTTTAAATAACTATGAAAAAATATTTTGTATCATATTTTTCCATTAATTTCAGTACCAACTGTATAAAGTATTTTATTTGCAAAAAGTAAGTTTGATATGCACAAATTCGTTTTAAACACTATACACTATTTTTCCAGTTTTTTTTCCAAAGGTTTACAGAGATTGTACTTTCTAAAATTTAAAATTAAACTATAATTAATGTTTTACTTGGGTATCTTCATATCTACGTAAACATCTTTTATAGTTCTTGATACTGTGACGGCAGCGCTTTGCTGCTTGCATTTTTTTAATGGATGATAATGGAATGGTTATACCGCCTGTGCTATCGGTATACGCTGGCGGAACACCAGTGACAGATGATAGGTGAGTATAAAGCAGGTCAGGTAGTCTATAATGACGAATTTAAGAATTAATCACTCCATCACTAACTCCAGTAATATGTAGTTGTATATACACAACCGTGGTACATTTCTAAAGCTAGGGAGAGTAGATTGTCAATGATGATACAGATAAAGATGATTTTTTCATAATTTATAAAATTACACTTTCGGTTTCAATTAATTATGTTGCATTTCCATTGTGTCAGTTGCAAATTTGTCATATTCAATTACATAGCGTTTTCTATATTATAAAAAATAATGTTTAGAAGTAATATTAATTTAAAACAATAATAAATACGTCATTACGAATTGTTATTACATTAATAAAATTCATCATTAGAGATTATTTATATTTTAAGAATTCTTCAACACTATAAAAGCCCTTTTCGACAAGCCGGTCTTTTAGTTTATTTTAAAATGAATTTGGACTGATTGCAGAAGTTACGAAGTCAGGTAATGACGATGACCCCATAGCGAATATATCTTTACCTTGGTTTACCTCCAAGTGATTCCCTTAAAAACGATCGTGGTTAATTTTGGGTGAAATCATCATTTTTTGTTTCATTTACATTTCATTCGTTTGAGTTAACTAATCTGGCTTCATTCTCGTCTATTATCACTCACTAGTATACCGCTATCGAATACTAAAAGCGTAACCGATGTTACCATTCCATTATCAACCCATAAAATATAATCATACCGAGGTTTTCCTTAAATGCAGCAGTTCCATTTTCCGATATAATTCAGCTAATCCCTCCTGCCTCTTGTAAAATCCGCAGATCCCTGTTTCCTTAGACTCATTGTTGGTTTTGCCATCATTTTCACAAATAATCCAATATTATACGTAATTACATGTAAAAGCCCTCGGAACACCGTGTTTATTCAGTTTTGCTCATGAAATTAATAAATTGTGATCAATATAGAATTTGTTACGATAAGCTTTTATGTAAATTTGTCTTTATTGATACATATATCTGGCTTATATAAAATACTTTACTATAAAATACTTATTATAAAATACTTTGCAGTACTTTGATGACTAATCATGAGTAATTTAAAAACGTAACAAATCGGCTCACACTTTACACAGCATTTTAAAAAAAAAAAACTTAAAGCATATGGATAAAGATCCGTCATGTATTTTCTCATGACTCTGACCTACAAAAATAAACATGGTCTCAAGTGTCTGTTTATCAATGTCAGTTACATCGCCTTGAAGGACAAGCCGCGATATTCAGATGTACGTTTTACAAATACGATGTATGCTTAAAAATATTTATATCGCTGTACACTTAACTATGGCGGTATTACGTCGTTACCGGACGAAAAGCTCGGTTCAAGTTTCGCAGAAACGAGCTACCCGTGCTTTGTTTTATTCATGAACGCTTATTATAAACAGCATTTTGTCGAAAAGTTCGAAAATGCCTCTTTTATCGAAAAATATTTCTTTGAAACATAATATTGGATGTTTGCTCTCTATGCAATCACAGTATTTATGAATATGTATGGCACGGTACCCTACAGTACGGGAACTCCTTGTCTCTCTCTCTTGATCTGACCTAAATTCTCCCTTTCTGTCTCAATTGATAATTCAAGTTGTTTGTCCGAATTAGTTAAGATGGTTTCGCAAGCTAACTCATTCATGATAACATTGAAATGGAACAAACCGTAAAGTACTATTAAAATCAATTGTGCATTATTATTATTAAAGGTTTCGTAAGCAAATGTTTATAATTAGGCTCATGCTCGCGTCATAGTCACTCATGATTGAGGATTACGAATTGGTTCCGAAATTAGTCGAGTTTTTTCGATCTAATTACACGTAAATTAAACTGGTAGATATTATATTAAAAAATAGTTCTGCTTTAGTGAAATATTGTGTAACACGTCTGTGTTACGTATGTAACATAAATTAAAATTATAAATTTTAATTAACCACCGAAACACCTGAACAGATATATCATAAATTGTAACATGTAATATGGTTCTTCATGGGGGCTTTTAAACAGAAAAAAAAAACATAATTAATCTATTCATTCGTTTAAGAGCTACGATGCCACAGACAGACACAGACACGTCAAAACTTATACGTGAATAGAGAACTCCCTTTTGAAGACGCTTAAAATGAAACCGTGTTTGGTATTCATATATAAATTTGGGTTTGTACAAACTTCATCTATTTACGTAGTAGTGACAGCCATAGATCATGTTCATTCATTATACGGATATTTATTGATATCATGTTAGCCTATTTACAATTCCAAGTTATATAAAAAATCGCTTAAAACAGGATTCAGTTTAGATAGATTTTTACTTTCCTATTTTTTTGCAATCAAAAATATGGTAAATCTGATGGTAAGCATTCACAGCAACCCATGAATACTTGCTCCATCAAAAGTATGACTCTTGTAACTTATTGTGATTAGAGTACAGTACTCAGCAAATTGTCAGCTATATAAACCATAGCCGGCAAAAATATGCGAGACAGAAGAATTTATACAAACGATGAGATGACATGCACAACCTCTCTGGTATACTTTTTCTTTTTATGCACCTTAGAATGGAAAATACTCTAATAACTTGGCAAATAACATTCCTCAAAAATATTGATGTATACGTACACAAAAAGATTTCGAAAATACAATTATTTTATCTATTTTTCAGTCACCACGTGAACTGGCACTTATAGATAAATGGACGAAGATAAAAAATGTTTCCACCTGCCTTGCTCGAGGGCTAGACGCCTCCAGGGCAATAGACGCTCCTAACATTAGCATTTTTATTAGAATTGAGGTTACAATGTTAGTTCTGCCTACAATATAATACTGAGTGTATTTTATGAGGGAAAATTGACTGATGTGTAATTAACTATATGTGTAATTGAGTGGCCTTCACAAAGGATTACGTAAATGGGATTTTAATTTAATTAGATTTAATTTTGTACAAGTATATTAAAACCTGATCAATATTGACTTATATGTAATTTTCATATTTTATTTTTGAAGTTTCCAATATGTTACTTTTTAAAGAAAAATATTATAATATTATTGTAGGAGGAATTGAAGTCATTAGTATATTTTTAAGATAACTACTAGTTTACAAGTGAAACTGTATATTTTCTCTAAGAAACATGGTGACAATAAATGTGATAGTATAGACAACGTTATTACAACGCTGCATCAAATTTATTTTCTTCGTTTCTCCACCCAATAAGGGCACATAAAATCAAATTTGATGTTCACTGAGATCGATTCTGAGGCACCATTCTCTAAACCTATCACTAATTTTAACATTTTAATTTAATAATTTGGCGGATGTACAATTTTGGACTATTATAAAAATTGATTTATAATATTTTTTACTCGAATCTACCAGAAATTTAGTACATATTAATACTTAAAATAAAGGTTTCACTATAATATCAAATTGAAATATTAATTTTTAAAGATCCACATCGACCCCCCTGTCACTGTTTACTAGAAAAAAAAGAATGTAATGTTTGCAGGGTTCATTTATTATATTACTGTACTTAATATTCCTTTGTCCATTTATTATTCCCTCATATCGTGAAAACGACAAGGGTTAGATTAGTTTAGTTTCAAAAAGGAGATTTCACAATTCGCCTGCGTCTATAAATCGCGCCTAAATTAATGGCGGCACTCGCACCTTTTAGCGCTCTGGGTAATTGCCACGCATGCAGCATTATCGGGGCCTAATGTAAAATTTCGTATAAACTCTCTTACTACTCGTATTATACATGATGTATGTTTGGTAGACACGCGGTGTAACCCTTTTATGTGCATTACCACACCGATGTTTTACTTCGTAATTATTTAAAATGTTAACCACCCAACTCACACCCAGACGGTAAAAGGGTTGTAAAGTAATTTCTAGAAAAGACCACTTTAGGTACAGTCTTCTTCGTAATTATTAAAAATATTATCACCCAACTCACTACCAAATAATAGAGTTAAAATAATTTTAAATTGTATTTCACAAAAAAAAAAAAAACCCGACTTCAATTGTGATAAAATTAGGCATTTTGATTATAAAAGTATTGAACAGGTTCTGATTGAAATGTCTATGGGACCAATTTGTAGGTAAGTATATCCTTTCAGATAAAAAAGGTTTTTCCAAATCGCTTTATACTTGACGGAGTTATACGGTAACATACATAAAAAAATGCAACCGAATTGAGAAATTCCTTTTGTTTGAAGTCGGTTAAAGTCATTAAATTTTTTTCAGCGCCTAATTGTATATTGAAATAGTTGTGCTAGAGATCACATACACTATTTCTTCTATATTATTAACGATGATCTCCGTAACTCAGTTGTAGGCGTAACTCGGACAAATTAGATTCTCCAGAATGCCAATTCAAGGAAAAAACTTTACTGAAATACCTTAGGTATTGGTGTGCTCAGTGGAGGTACATTAAAACAAGTCGAAAAACTAAAATGTGTGAGTTGCAATACTTAAGTGTTCTATATAAGTTATATAACTGTAGATGATTGCCTATATATTCTATTATGCAAACATATTTTCACGCGGCAATTTACTGATGTTTTATCATAAGTTCCTATCTATATTTATTCAATTTATAGGCTGGGTTGCCAGGTATTTTATTTTGTATAAAGGTACTGCTACTAGATATTCGTCTTCCAGCGCCGGATTTTTGTTATCAACTGTTTTATAATACAGGATATCCTAGTTTGTTTATCACGGAATTAGTATGCCACTTATTATTTTCCTTTCGATGATTCAGCGATTGTAAGAGATTGCTTTCAGTGATAAAGCCGTCTTTTGTTAAGTACATTCTATAAAACGTTCTCTTTTTATTACTTTTAGTTCGCAATAAAGGGTTTTATTATTAGTTGATCGATAAATGCGAAGTATGATTTTTAAAACGTTTACTAGAATCATCTTCGTCGTATAAGCCTTTAACTGTCCACTGCTGAACATAGGCCTCTCCCTGTTGAAAGATTTTACCAGTAGTTGCCACGTTTGGCAGATGGGTTACCAACCGCAGCTAGGCTTTGGTGATATTTTAAAAGGGACGCTGCTGTTCAATCCTCTGTCTCTAGACCCTCGTTTACTAGACTGTCAGTGCTTTATTTATTTTAAAAAACCAATAGCGCTTTACAAATAAAATTAACAAATATTTTGTAATAGAGTAGTATGGTTAATAACAAGTTTTTCTAAATAAATATAATTCTGTAGATTATGTAGTCGACAATTGTTAAAGGAGAAATAGAAAAATAAATAAATCAAAGGCAATCGTTGACATAATAATATTTATACACATACGCAACAGCTATATATACACATACATTTATTTACTATTGTTCATTCGTGACATTCTTATACTATTGTATATAAATACTCGTTTTAGCCTCTAATTTTATACGCATGGATTTTGAAAATGGAATACCGATTTAATATACCATATTATATGGTATATCACTGTGAAATATACACTAGATTTTAAGTTCAACCTTTGAGCCCTGCAACTGCGAACTGAAACAATGGTGTAGTTTTTTTTCAAGACGTCAAAGCAGACACACAAGAATTCTGAGAATTTTATTTTTTTTTTACTTCACTACTTCTTATTAAGATTTTTAATATAAATTTTTCTTATATCTTTCTTTATATACCGACACTATCTAATTAAAATTTTATTACACTAGAGGAAAAAAATAAGGGATAAAAAAATTCTAATATAGATAATCTGAACTGAATGAACTGGCACTCAACATGACTAGTTTTCTCGGTATTTCCAACTTAGCGCCTGATTATCCCAAAAGCCCTTTTTTTCTTGATTTTTCAAATTAATGAAAAGAATAAAGAACAATTTGTTTTCAAAAAACCATGGCTGATTCTTGTCGGAAATTTATTCAAGATTTCAAAACCCTTCTTAATTTTCTTGTGCGATCGGCGGTTGCTGAGATATTGATGATTAAAGACAAAAAGATCCTTTTCCATCCAAAGTTAGATAGCTCAGAGAGAAGTTGTCGTATCGAACTTTGCAAAAAAGCAAATTAAAGCTGAATGAACAAGCTATCCGATTCATATAGTGATTAAGATGGATTTTTTTTTCCAATTTCGTAGACCAAAAAAGAACCGAAAAAATTTTGTGAAATTTTTTTTGTCGGTATTCATTAGGATTAAGCGGAACATGTTGCTTAATTTTTTTTTTATCGTAAGAACTTAAAACTAGAAACTGTGAGCTTTAAAATCCTTTTTTTAATTCCAGTACGACCATTTTTAAGGGAAATACAGCTACTTGAATAACCTCAAAAATTTTGAATTTGTTTTGATCTCTTAATTTTTTCCTCTAGTGTATATTTACTTATTATTACTTTAATACACCTAGATAGTGTGAAAGGCGGACTTGATACCATATGGCGTTACTTACCAGTCGACTGTAAACAGGAACAACAGACTAAATATAAGTGTATTATATGTATACAGAATTTTTGAATTGTGTCTAAAACTGGCTCTTAAAGAGAAATTAAAGTACCACTCACAAATAGTGCTCTTATCAGTTGAAATAGCACTTCACTGGACGCCGACTCAAAGCTTAGAAACTTATCCCGTCCAATGAAACTCAACTGGTAAGAGCTCTTGATCCGACATGATATTGAAGTTGCGGGTTCAAATCCCGCTCGCTTCATCGTTTTTCAAACCCATAATTATTATTGAATTATGATTTTTTATGCGATTTAGAATGACATTGTTTGCCATTTAAATAATTTTCTCCAAATTGATACGATTTACTTTTACCCAAAAATAAACTTTAATCCGTTTTACTATGTTTTACCAAGTAGCTGCTACACTAGAGATGAAAAAAGTTTCCTCCTACGCTAACCTTATTGTTTATGTGATCTTACTACCTTCAATAATGTATACTATGACTCTATGTAATATATAACTTTTACAAATGCTAAAACTTTCAAATAAATAAATCAAGTCTAAGTTTATATGTATTATAAATTAGCTTAACCAATTTTATAAAATTCAGAAATTTTTCAATATTTTTTCTTCAATATTGCATAATCTGGCAAAGTTGGTAACACTCACCAATGAGGCTTTAAAGAGCTAGTATCCAGAGCCGTAAAATTTGTTAACAATAAACACTCACCAATGTTGTGGACACAGGCTCGCGGCTACTTGGAATCTCTGCCGTTCAAGCCGCGCGTCCCGTGGGCAGAGCTGTTCCCGGGGGCAGATGCACGCGCGCTGGACCTCCTGCACCGCATGCTTACCTTCAACCCACACAAGCGCATCACCGTCGAAGAGGCCCTCGCGCATCCCTATCTCGAACAGTACTACGATCCCAATGATGAGGTAATTATATCTATCTTTACACCAAGACCCTTGCGGAATAGGCAGAGAGAACCGAGTTTGACTTGTATACATCTGTTGTTTTTTGCATGTTTCATAAGTATGCAAGCCGGTTCCTAAAAAGGTAAATAAATTGTCCTAATACAATTTATTGATTTACATTCTATTAATGATCCACCCACACTTTGAACAGGTAGTGAAAATAAAATTAGCCCATGTTACTCTCTGATCTGTAAGTGAAAGAATTTTTAAAATGTGCTAAATATTTTTGGAGTTTATCCTCTTTATAATATTACTTTAAATTATACGTTTTCAATAAGGATAATTGTTAATTCGCTGGATTTTTTTAAGGACACGCAGTTCTCTTCGGACTACTCTGTTCTCTCTGTCTATGCCAAAAGTGAAAAAAAAAAAAAAAATACGTAAAACTTTTATTTTGTGAATACATACATATGACAGCATGCTCATAACGTAAATGTTTGTTTTCTGCGGGGATCGAACCCACGACCATTGGAAAGTGAAGTGGTACATTAAAACCGTTAGACCACCGACGCCGTCAAAAAAAGAAAGATAATCAAAAAGCTATATTCAGAAATTTTTATAATAAATATTTTAACTATAATATATACTAGTGGTAGATAATATACATATTTATTTGTGCTTTTTTCCTGCTTGAATTAAAATAAAAAAAAAAATTTAATTATGCGCACTATTAATCATCTATAGAATATTCTCTAACTGTTTACCAAATTAAATTTAAATTTTTGCAACCGTTTAAGCGTGTATAAGTAACATATATCAAAACAAGCACACTACTAGTTGGTTTTTAGGCTCATTACGATTTCTTTATGTAAAGAGAGAGAGTATTTAACAGAATAATAAGTATTAGTGAACTCAACTTTCTTGAACAATGATATTTAAATAAATATTTCATTTTACGTACATTTCGCAACTGTTGTTTTTAGGCACCACGAAATTAATGGCAGACTTACTTTGAACCGTTGAAGGGATAGTATTACAGGACTTTGTAATTTCTCTTTGTCGGCTGTTTTCAAGAAATACTTTGTACTATTAGCAATTCCGTCATTGTTAATTTAATATAAATAACTGATTGAACGTTTAGTCGATTGTGTAAATAGTTGTGTAAATTGTACTCGTAAAATAGTTCTAAATGAAGAGGGTATTTTCCAAAGCTGGCATTATTAAATTAAAAAGTATGTTAGTACTTTTTTTACGTTTACATGTGCGTGTGTGTGTGTATGCTGTGCGTGGCTGCGTGCGTTCGTTTGACTGGTCGTGCGTGCATATGTATGTGTACGTAATAAAAGAAAGATATATGTTTGCATCACCTATAACTACATATTTTTAAAATGAATCTTACTAATATTATCAAGTGAAAGTTGGTCTTGATGTTTGTTATTCAATCGATTTTGGACACCTAAAAAGATTTAATTGATATTGGCGAAAAATGAATGAGCGGAAGTAGTCACTTACCATCGGGTGACCCGCATGCTCGATTGTCGCGTCTTATAAAAAAATCGTGTTAGAAACGAACTACATAGACTATTATTACAAATCACACGCGTAAAGTTATAAGATATACCTAGTAATTTAATAAAAAGAGTTGAAGGAGGAAGGATTGTAAGTAATGCATAGGGTCTTATTTCGAATTAACGATGCCCTATATCCTATGTCACTTACCATATCGTGTTTATGAAATGAAGTGGTAACTCATTGTATGCTTTTATTCGTTATACACGAGAGCATTATATTATGAAAAAAAGAAACATCACGGGAAAAAGTATAGTTTAACTTTACTAAAGGTTTATTGTACAATATAATCCAAAATGGCTTCAAACTCAGATTTATTTTTATGCAACTTAGAATGGCCAACAAGCTGACGGCTATCCGGTGGAAAGTGGTACCTCTGTCCTATTCGTGTTTCAACCGTGAAGCAGTTGTGTTTGCATGGCTGTGTTTCGGTTTGAAGGGTGAGATATGGCGTGAATTTACAGGGTACAGAGGAATAACACCTGAGTCCTCAGGAATGGCAACGCATGGGAGGTATCATGGGTGAAACAGTATACTCTGTTATGTCCATGGTACTACCCATGTCTATAGGCGACGGTTATCACTTTCCATCAGGTGGGCCGTCAGCTTGTTTGTCATTCTAAGTTGTATAAAAAAATAAAAAACCCTGTAAATACACTGCCATATCACATTCTTACAACCGAAATGCATGGCTGCATTTCGGCAAACACAACTGTTTCACGATCGAAACACGAATGAGAGGTACCCAAGCAAATGACTTTTGTACAACGTTTCTCTCTGGATGTACAATATAGTATTATTTTTTAATTTTATTTATTTGACGCATGTAACAGAAGTTTTACAGATACAAACTTTAACTATAATATTGTTAATATAATGTTGGTTATTTACAATGCAAAAGGTTTACAACTCAATTAATTTCACAGCCAGTGGCAGAGGAACCGTTTAGGTTCGCAATGGAGCTCGACGATCTGCCAAAGGAGACTCTCAAGAGGTACATCTTCGAGGAGACGCTGCTGTTCAAACAACAGAACGAAGGCGCGTAGACGTCACCCACCGTAATCACCATCCGCCTGTGCCCTGCCCTCCCCGCCGCTTCTCAAGACACGGCGACAGAGGGGTAAGGCGCAATTTGAATGCAAACTCGGTGTAAACTTTTTTTTTATACAACAAAGAAGTTTAAGCGTATAGTCACCGCAATTTATAAATGCTTGCAACTAAAAGCATCTTTCCCGTGAAAATCTACCTAGTAATTTCACTACAGTAGCACCTTTCAAACCGGAACACAGTATGCAGTCGCGCTGTTCAGTGACGTAATTAATACATGATATAGACAACTTTGTACAGTTTGTCTCTGGTAAAGCAACTTGTACTCTAATATTGTAAAAACTGAAATATCATTGTACTCCTGATAGATAATGCAGTTTATTGACACTGATAACTAATCCGGATACATAATATCTTATCACGACTTCACAGTACTTACCGATTAATGGGGAATACTATGATTAAGTTACGTGGTTAAGGATAAAGTAATATAATAGTCATTTGTTAAAGGAACTTGAGGAAAATACACAGAGTTTGCATTCAGATAGGGCATTATTATTAAGCGGAACGCATAACGTGGTTGGGAATCGTCAAAGTACATGTAGCCGGTGAGCCGAGCTACCTACCAGGAGCGAACCACGGTGTTGTATTAAATTCATTAAGTATTCGACGTTTGAATTTGTGTGATCTTGGCGATGTGTTTTCGTATAAATACCGTATACATTATGTATCACGAGAGCAACGGGTAATTTGATAACGGATAACGCTATTTAGTTATTGAACTAGAAGCTCCGAATAAAAGGAGTCGATTTACTCGTTGCGAGCTGTCGCACCCCGAAGCGATAAAGTAAGCGCGCGGAGGTTATTAAGCGATCGATAGTACGTTTGCCTATTCTTCAGCGTGCTCACAGTAGGTGCGCTGCGATTATATACTAAGAAGCTGCCAAATGACACCCGTAATCTATTTACAAGGTTATTCGGTTCATTTTATGGAAATATCTCGATGACTGAACACAAAAATCAAACGTCTTTTTGATTTATTTTTAATAATGATAAGTGGAATACTGTTGTTGATTTGTTTATACATATATCTATGTACACTAATGATGTAACGTGACGGTTTGACTGGATCAGAACGTAGTAATGCAGTATAAAGCCTAGAAAACTTAGAATCATAGATAGGACATTTCTGAAATTTATAAACGTTAAACATACCTAGTCGTACAATTTCTCTACCGAGGTGTTAAATTTTGTGGTGGCGACGGGGCGGCCGCCGGCGTATGGGTATTTTGCAGTATTACAACACGATATAGTTAGATCTCGAAGTTGTAGTGAATATTATTCTACGACGTATATGTTCCCATCGAGCGTTAACAGCAACGTGTTGATTTTCGAGTGCATTCGACAGATTAGTTTGATATTAGGTACGTAATGTTACCCATTTCATGCGCAAACAAAGGTATTAAATTGCTGGGCTGAGAGTTCGGACTTGTGGCCGTGGTGTGCGGCACTATGACGTCAATAGCGGGCAAACAAACTACGGAGGGACGTCGCCGCGTACGTCGGCAATAGTAGATACATATAAGAGAATGAGGGACGCTGTAAATATTTTTACATTTCGAATTAATGTATTTTGAAGTGTCACTGAATAATAACTTCGAGCACTTTGACTTTACTCATTAATTCTGATGTGATCCAATTAACGAATAAATGTTTTTTTTTTCCTCGATGGTGCGTCGCGATCTTCGTTGGGAAACTCGCGTTACAATGATTTCTATATTAATAATTCTCGTCTTCCTTATATTTGCATGTTAGCGCACAAGAAATTGTTAGAATAGTTGATTCTTCATATCAGATATTTTAATGAGATGTTTATCATAAAGTTTAGTTAATTGTGCGATATTGTCGAGTTTTCCAAGGGCGGTACGCGCGCGGCGGCGGCGCGGGCGCAGCGGGCGCGCCGCGTCTCTGTTGTTACTCTCTATATGTCTTTAAGATATTGTTAGGGAATTTAAGGCCCACGTATCCAGTGTCATGATCCAGTGATCCGGTGTGGTGTGATCCACATCTTACGTCGGGCGATCATAGTCTATTTCTATACTAAGACTTGAATAACGTTGTTTGTTGAAACTATTTAGAGAGCGTATTAGAATAGTCATTCTACTATGAACATATACAGAACAAACGGTGTTTCCGTATTGCTGCGGTTCGATATATATACATTATAGTAGAACTAAACTCGCGACATTCAAGGTGTTGGTTAGATTAATGAGTACTCTTCTACTTAAGAATAGAGTTTACAATGTGTTCCAGTGGAGATCCTAAACACTTGATTCTTAATCTAAACAGGGAGATATGACTTCACATTACATATATACCGTTCAAATTATTTTGTCTGTAAGGTGTCGTAAACTGGATATTTTATAAATTTAAATTACGGAACAAAACAAGACAGACAAAACTCAATTTGTATCATAGTTGTATTTTTCATGTTAACAAAACCAATCTAGGTTGCAACCACAGACATCAATTGAAATAGATATCGTGACTGTACTTTGCGTTTTGCATGCTATTTTTTGTCCAAAAGTAAGCTTTAAAAGTTTTCTTGGACTCCAGCTAAAATTATTCCTAAATTTTTACAAAAATATATATTTTTGTCGTTTAAATTATAAACGAAAACAGCACTAAAATGGTATATTCGGAATGATTTAGTGCATTAGACGGCTTTTTTAAATAAATCGTTTTCTAGCTATCAATCGTTAGCTATCAATAATCGTTGCATCCCAGTAACAGTTTTTGTGTAAAGATACTTGCGACATCTATTTCTATCTGTGTCTATGGTTATAATTTCTTTTTTTATTTTCATTATATGTAAGTATATCGTATCTTCAGGCCCAGGAAGGTTATTAAATCATCGAATCATTTTTATTTAGTTATAGTTAATTTTGTATTATAACATCATATTTGTGAGTATTGTTGCATAAAAGAACACCCTGAATTTGTAATCAGACAATGAAATTAGCCTATTTGTACAGTTCTCAATGTTATTTCTACGTCATAAGGTTTAAAATTGCTTAACGAAAAATGTGTAATTTCTATTGTAATTTAGGATTTAATAATTGATCAATTATTATTATTGATTAAAAGACAACTTTATAATTTATTGTGACCTTAAAGTTGCGTTTATTATGAAATAATACTATGTTTCGCTTGGGAGCGTGTGAATAGGTGTATTATTATATTTTTTTAGACATTGCAAATATATATGGAGTGATGATAAGATATGGGACGGTGTCTTACGGCCGTGCCTAATATTTTCCTTTATAAAGGAATCGGTGGTGTGCACTTAACCCAGCGTACCAAGTGATGTGGGTTTAAACTCAAAAGCCTTTTACTTTCCAATCAATAAAACAATAGATTGTACCACAAGGAACCAAAATAATAGTTTTTACGGTGAAATCACTAATATGATTCAATGTATCTTGACTAAAATAAAAAAATTATTTGACCTACTGATACTCTCTACTTTGCCTCTCGTTCTAAAAAAAAAAGAAAGAAAAAAATATGTGCTTTGAAATAAAATCAATGAATAAATATATTTATATAATAAGATATTAGAATGTTATTATAGATCAAAGTGATCATTTGAACCCTCTATGAAAGTCTGGGTGAATAGTCCTACTTTGCTTGCACTTATCGGAGAGCCAATCATCGTTTTTCGAATAGATGGGTTGGAAAATATATTTTGATACTCGACAGTAAGCCAAATGAAAGAGATGGGCATTTGGGAACGGCCGTAAAAGTATATAGCAGTAACGTTTAACGTTTGGCTACTAACATAAATACGGTATAAATTGTTACAATTTTGTGATAAAATTTCAGCGTTCTAACACCATTTGTTGTCTTAAAAGTTATGGTATTCCGCCTCTTGGTGTTTCATTAAATGTTATGGGGGGGGGGGTCTTTAATGTATCTTTTTTATAAAAGTCTGCTAATCAATTTAAAATAGGAAGATGTAATTTTATATTACTCGATTTCTTCACCTACTGTACATCCTATCTTCATTCCACTGGTAATGGTATACAAGCAAACGCAGATCGTCTGCAGTTCCCATGAGGCGGATCATGGGAAATGGTAATCATTGCTTATAAACACCCCTATACTTAAAAATGTCACGCTATTCAGTAATCAATGGTTAAGTCCATATAAAGGGCTATAAGCATTAACGAAATACTAGACTAATTGGCGTTTATAAGTAAGGGGCTTTAACAAGTATCTTTTCTATTCAATATTTGATCAAAAAAGATGTGTAAAGATCGGTAATGGATACTTTGCTTATACTCTGTGCCTGTGTGTCGAAATATGATTTCGATTTGATACTAATTGGATTGCATTAAAAGTCAACTTATTAGGGGTTGATTCTCTATAACACAAACGATTCTTAATTGTAAAAGAAAATGGTATTACGTAATACAATTGCTTCTTAATCGTACTTTTTCCGATAAACTGCTGTTTTTTAACTAGTAGCAAAATTCAAAATATAATAGTAATTTTAGTTCTTTAATCTCTCTGCAGAGGCAGCACTTACGTTCGCTCACTAATCGCTTACAGATTAAATTGACGGCGAAAGTCGTACAATTTTCACCTGTCCCAAATTGTTTGCTTGTTATAGGTAATCACCTCCCTGATTATGGTGTTAAACTCAAGTTATACAGATTATAATGTTTAATTTTAATAAATCACTCTAGGAAACTCCATATAACCTAATAAGATACGTTTCTATTATATTACAATCCTGTAAAAATATAGCTTATTTATATATAATAATATACGCTTATGTACTTTTTAAGGTAATTAAAGACCCTGCCAACTACTTTAATTAAACATGTACTTTATTCTCATTGGCTTACTCTAAATGTGGAAAAACAAATGTAACTTTCAAATATGACACCAGAATATCATCTTGTATTTATTGTTAAAATATGAGTGTTGCCATATTTTCTTAAGTCATTATGTACAAATTGGATAATGTAAGATCATTTGTTATCTGTCAACAGTTGGATATTACGAAAATTAAATCAAATCAAAGAGATCTGTTTTTTTTTATTTATATATTATTATTTTTTCCTTAAATTCATCCATTATTATATTTATCTATATTATAACCTACAGTGCACAAAGGTTACTGTTTTAGGAGAGAAGTATATTCTCTAAAGAATCTAAAGAAGATAACATTTATCGTTGCCATTTCTGTATTTATGATTATTTTCCAGGGATGGTTCGTTATAAATAGCGCATATGTAGTCTCAAACATGTCTTTGTAAAGCTTTGCTCGCATCCTGGGATAAGCATTTAACATAATGCCCATGATCGCTTTCAAGAATATCTTAATGTTTCATATTTCAGTATAATATCTCCATCAACTATATAATATCTCGATGAAACTGTTTATAATTAATTCTCTCCATCCAAAGGTCGCCTGGAAGTAATCGCTTTTAGCGATGAGGCCGTCCATTGTTTTCTCACTGCGATCATGTCTTGTAATTGTTTGTATCTATAACAAGTTCACTATTGTAATCTTTTGGAGGAAACAATAAAGAGTATCTGTCTATAACTAAAGTATAAGTGATAGTTGATATAACTTAGGCAATTGCCATAGATATTAGAAGCTCACAGGTCATACTACTCCAGGTTTATACAGTCTAAAATACAGCTTGCAGGCAACGAAATATAATGATCGTCCAAAAGTCTGTGGTAATTTTTTTGGAGAAGACATCTATTGGTTATTCTATTGATGGCGGTGCCAAATAAAAATCCACTTAAATCATATAAATATGGCGAAAAATGAAGAAATAAACATTATTATAGAGATTGAGGTAGTTGCGACATACACGTAACTCCGTTTATGTCTAGTTTTTCTTCTATGGATTTTTTTTTTTATACCACGGGGCACACGAGCATGTGGCTTACCTGATGGTAAGTGACTACCGCCGCCCATGTTCACCCGCAACACCAGAAGCATTGCAGGTGCTGCCGGCCTTTTAAAAGCGGGAAGTTGATTCCAAAGAGTGGTTGTGCGTAGAAAAAAGCACGGTGAAGGACCGCCACTCATCCAGATGGTTAGCATGGAACTTTAGTTTGTGGTGAGTTATACGGTGGTGAAAATCAGCAGCGGGTATCAAACCTTATTATATTTATCTTCATGAATTTTTTATGGATTATGGATTTTCTGGGCGTCAAGATATTGCTTTCAAATGAATAGTAATTTCTTCCAGTTGAGACATCATTGCCTTTGTACTTAATATTAACTGTAGCTACAAGTGATCTGAAAGATAAAATTATAATGAGACACTAAGCATTCTCTTTCTTAAGAATTCCATTTATTGGAATATCATGAATAGCAGATCAAAAATCAAGAATATAAGGATATTAGAAAATTATTGACTTTCCGCTTTTTGTAGTGTTATTTCTCTGCTCTTTGATATTACATTCAAAGATTTCTATAATATTCAAAATTCCTAGTGTAAATTTAACAGAAATTTATGTAACGCAATAGTATTGTGTTAGTATTTACTTATATAAATACTTATAGATGTGGATACTTGTGAATGGTTTCTAAGTGTCAAACTATTCAAACTTTTTTTTTTATACAACTTAGAATGGCAAGCAAGCTGACGGCCCACCTGACGGAAAGTGGTAACTATCGCCTATAGAGATGAGCAGTAGCATGGACATAACAGAGTATACTGTTTCGCCCATGATACCTCCCATGCGTTGGCATTCCTGAGGACTCAGGTATTATTCCTCTGTACCCTGTAAATTCACGTCATATCCCACCCTTCAAATCGAAACACAGCCCTGCAAATACGACTGAAACACGAATGGTACAGAGGTACCCAAGCAATCGATTTTTGTACAAAGTCTCCCTCTGGTAAAAGTATTATTAACTTATTTAAGTAGGTAAGTAACTTATTTATGTAAACGTGAATGCACTAAAAATGTAAATTTGTTTCCAAGTCATACTAGGAACTCTGTGGCGTCTTTAAGAAGCTTTTGATCACATTGATACACTATTATTTAATGACAAAAAGTTTTTTTTTAAATATATTTACATCGCTGTAAATTTTTTACCTAATTTATCATGAGGAATTGTTCGGATTGATACCCGCTACTGATTTTCATCACCACCTTATAACCCGCCATAAATTAAAGTTCCATCTCAACTATCTGGTTGAATGGCAGTCCTTCATATTGTGCGTGCGTGCGTGCGTTTTTCAAGATACTTTCATCCACGCACAACCACTCTTTGGAAACAATTTAAAGCAACAGTATTTCCGAACCGATTTGACATCATAACCTTTAAAAAAAGAGCATATTCCTTTTTGAAAGACCGAGCGCACACCTGCAATGACTCATGGGCTGCGGTAGTCACTTATCATCAGGTGAGCCGAATACTTGTTTGGCTGTGTTATAAAAAAAAATATTGACAATAGGAGTGGTTAAAAATGCTCAATTTATTTAACTGTAACGTTTATGACAGTTACATTTAATGAATAATAATTCCTGTCGAATGGCTGACTTCTCACGTTTTCGTATGTCTAGGGAAAATCATTCCATTAAGCGAGCGAGGGGCACTACACTTACCTTTTTAATATACATGTTGCTTTTGAGTAATTGAGTGGAATTTTGCCAGTAGATGCCAAACTTGGCAGACGGGTTGGCAACCGCAGTTAGGTTTTTAAAGATGTTTTAAGAGGGACGCTGCTGCAGGGACGATTTTTACGACTTTAATTGAATTTGTCGTAGGTGGGTGTAATATTTATTTTAAATAACGAAACACTAAACTTAAATTTGTTATTCGAATAATGTTTATTCCTTGGCTGGTCAAATGCTAATTTCGTCTGTAGCCCGTAAGACTACACCATCCCCGGCCTTAGAATAGAGCCATATTAAATAACAGTTTTGAAGATATAAATAAATACGTATATAGATATTATATATTTTCATTTAACTATATTTAGATTTTTTGAGAGATGGAAATCAAATGGCTGCGCTGTTAGTTTCATCATCATCATTTCAGCCATTATCCGTCCACTGCTGGACATAAGCCTCTCCCATAGACTGGCATAAAGAACGGACCTGAGCCACCTGCATCCACTGACTCCCTGCAATGCATTTCAGGTCGTAACTCCATCTAGTGAGGGGGGGGGTCGTCCTACACTGCGTTTACCCGTACGCGGTCGCCATTCAAGAACCTTACTTCCACTGTTAGTTTACCTTGCCAAAATATCAGTAAGGGATGATAGGTGACGACGTGTCAGGTCAGTTGGCCTGTCGTAATGATTTCACCAGCAATTAAACATGACATTTTCTAGAGAGGAGCGCATGAAAGTTAACCTGATATAGTATGTTGCTATCAATGGGGATGCTAGTTCCCTGCCTATATGAGTATATCTATTATTGAGGGGTTGAATCTGGTCGACATTAAACACTGGGTATCAAATTAAATTTTCGGGTCACTTTCTGACAATGGATTACGGATAAAAGCTTTTTTTAAATAACGAAGGTGATAAACAAGCATACTACCCATTTGATAGTAACTCACGGTTACTGCAGCCAATGGACGCCCGTAACACTAAGGGTGTCACGTACGCATTGCCGACTTTGAAGAAACCTTTATATACACCGTCATTGAAAGACGCTGTACTGCAGTTCTCTAGGGAAAACCTCGACAGGAACTCACTCCACAGCCTGAGCGTTCGCGGAAGAAAACTTCTCTGAATCTGCACTACAGTTTGATCTTAGTCAAAAGGCCGAGAAGCGATTCTTGAAACTGCTCTGTACCCGACTATTTAGGTTTAGGCATGTGAGAATGATGGGTTGCCATATGGTCCCGGCATAGAATATGTATGTGTTTGCATGGCTGTGTTTCGGTTTGAAGGGTGGAATATGGCGTGAATTCACAGGGTACAGAGGAATAACACCTGAGTCCACAGGAATGGCAACGCATGGGGGGTATCATGGGCGAATCAGTATACTCTGTTATGTCCATGGTACTGCTCATGTCTATAGGCGACGGTTACCACTTTCCATCAGGTGGGCTGTCAGCTTGTTTGCCATTCTAAGTCTATAAAAAAAAATCGATTAAGGAATGGTGAAGGATGGACAGCAGCGTGTCTCAAGCCTAACTGCGGTTGCCAGCCCGCCTACCAAGCGTGGAACTACGGGCAAAATCCCCCAAAAGAGATGCTTAAGTTCAGCAGTGAACAGTTAAAGGTTGATATGATGAATATGATGATGTAGGGATGAATTCCCTATCGATGGTGAGCAGTGCATGATAAAAGGTAGCTATGGACATCATTTTAAACATTTTCTCAGAACACAACCCGATATATAAGCGGCTTACCGCTTTGTGTCTTCTAGATACAAAGGGAGGTAAAGTCTCACCTTAGACTTAAAGTCTCGACACCAGATATGAGCGTGTATCGTCAACAATTCTCACAGCCTGTCTTTGAATCGAGTCAAGAGGACCAAGCTGATATCCAAGTAGGTATCCAGTTGTGAACGTGTTTATTTTTAATTAGATAGTTATTAAAAATAAGAAGCCATAATTAGCTGAATATTAAAAGGTAATTTTTGTTCAATTTTCACAAACATGTTAAGTGAAAAGTGACTATATAATAAATTAATTTTGCTGTTATTCTGTTAGCAAAATGTACATGTTTTCTATGTTCTATCTTAATATAATGAAATAACAAAATAGAATAAACTTTATAATATTTATTATAAAGTGTTGAAAGTTATAATACAAATTTAATTGACGTGTTGTATATAAAATACATCTTTGTGAAAATCTGGAAATTTCACTAGATGTAGTACAAATTGTAATTTATTTTATACTAGACTTTGATCGCGACTTCTTCCACGCCTATGTTCTCCGTCCCGTATGTACACAAAATTTTATAGTAATTAAGTTATTAAAATACTTAGGGGTATTTTAAATACACAATCGGAACTTAACGCAATGTAAAAGCTTTTACAGGTTAACGTGGATTACACCACGTCGTGGTCACGACGGGAAACGTCGACAAT